CGCTGCTCATTGGTTTCCGGTTAAGTATGAATTATGACCTGTATATATGAAATAATGTTGCAATGGAGCTGTCATATCATGGTGCACCTGGGATTAATTATACATACAAATTTGTCATTAATTAATTATTTAATTATTTAATTGATTGTCGTGAAACAGAAAATATGTATATACATATACGGTATACCTGAGTATTAATGGGGCCGTTGAGATCGTCGTGAAAGAGAAAATAGAAGAAGTCCTCGAGGTTGAAGGTGTGGCGCTTGTCGGAGTGGTGGCGGTGGTGGAACACGTGCTGCATGATCGCCTCCACGTCCAGGGCGGTGCAGCTGTCCTCCTGCTGGTGGTTAACCAGGAATTGGTGGAGCTGATCGGCGGACATGTGGGAACCGCCGTCGGAGTACCGCCAGAACGCCTCCCTCACGTCCGGCGGCGGCTCCGACTCGCTGATCTTGAACTTCCGGTTGAAACATCCGAACATCTTGTAATAATTGTAACTCCCCATTTAATTCAATTATTCCTCTCTCTCTCTCTCTCTCTTAATTTTCTCTCTCTTGTTCTTGATCATAACACGAAATCTCCGTACGTAAAAATGTGTGTGTGCATGATCGTTATGCATTTGGATGATTTTTTCGATCTCATTGTGGCATTTTTACAAACACTTTCTGTGGATCCATGAATTTTCTAGGATTAATTAATTAAAAAAAAAAGCAAAAAACAAAAAAGAAGAGATTAAAAGATAAATGAGTAATTAATTGAAGATAGGGGGAAAAAGGAAAGCTACGTTTAAGGAGAAATGTGAGGCTGGTACGTTGTTAATGCATTACTTATTAACAAAGTTATTAACAAAATTGTGAATGTCAGATTTTCGATTATTATTCCATTAATATAATATTCGATATTGATCATGGTAATATATTATTCTTCTGAGTTCTGATAAATGATATCTTTTTTATTGCTATAATTAGTTCAGGATCGGACACGTGTACATCTTTCCGAAAAGGCTTTCTTCACATTTTCTATTTTTATTATTAATTCTTACTTTTCAAATAATCTAATTAATTTATTGACTGTATGTATAGAAAATTATATTTTGGAGAAATAAATAGAGAATATAAGTTGCAAGTACCAAGTAGTCCTGAAAAGTACTAATGTCCTAATAAATCTCGAAAACCTAATAAAACCGGGGAAAAAAAATGAAAATTTACTGAAAAACGACGAAATCGAGTTAAACGCTAATTCCAATAGATCCAGCAATTATGGAAACAACTGAACTTCCGAAAGTCCTCATCTGAGCTTTGTTTCTTGGGCCGTTTTTGTTTGAGGTATGTTTTTTTTTTCGAACTCAAATTTCGTATGGGGTATTAAATAATTAATTAGGTAAAATTAATGAAGTATTTGGATCAACTATTCAAGTGGAGCTAAATTAGAAGATCAGTCAACGTGGCAAGAAAGAAAGAAAGGAGTTGCTCTCTACCGCTAACGTAAGTCATTTCTTCAAGGTTGAACCACGTCTCTTAAATTCATGCATTCATCTTCCTGAATTAATGTTTTATGTGCATAGTAATTGCTTAAACAATTGAGCATTGTTCGATAGAGTTAGGTAAATTGTTTGGTGAATTTTTTTATTGAATTTGATAAATTGTACAACAATTAATTATGTAGAACAAAACATTTGGAATCCACCAAAAAGTTGTCCACATGTGTTTCTTTTACTTTTTATTTTTTCCCAAGACCAATTTCAGAATCAGCCACCCTCAATTTATCATCTGCACTTAAATAACTTCAACACTACTACTACTGTTCCAGTAACCAGTCTTAACCGACACACGTGTTGAAAAACTTCGAGCCAAGTTTCACGGTACAGATGACTCACCTTTCGACCGCAGCAACTGCAGTCGTCAAAAGAATTTCTTGTGCAACGAAAGGTCTTACAACCGTTTCATGTAATAAAGATCGATCAAAGATTTGACTCGAATAGGTCAAAATCATCAAGAGCATTCATAAACGACCACCATCTCTTTAACAGAAGGATCTTAGATTATGCATTGGGCCCAACCTTCGACAAGATATATAGGGAATTATCAAACTTACAGAGCAACTTGTGATAAATTCTTTAATATTCGGAGCAAAACTCCATCCCGAAGGGTACCGACAGTAAATGCTATTATAAGCTATTGGAGGCTTGAACCTGATAATTTACAACATGATATAAGCACCAACAGATAAAGAACTCGACATATTATTGGCAACTTCGACTCCACTTGCTGCTGCAGTAAAGTCAAGTTTTAGGCCAATAACTTGACAAATTCCAGACCAATCATCCATGAACAACCAGTTGCTGCAGCTCAGTTGAGCATTTAAGCCATTGTGCTGATGTTGCAGACTTGGTGATAATTTACATCATTATTTATTGCAGAAATTCCAGCATCTTAAACAATCCGATAAAGCTCATCTGAGCAATGTTGTTTAATACTCACTAAAGTTCAACCAAACTAAACATCTGGATGTTCATTCATTACTTTAGCAGCTTCCACATCATAGCGGAGTTGCTGCTTGCGCCAGGGGCTGCAGTATCCAGATACGCAACGGGTGGCATGAGCAACTCAAAATCTTCTTCGTTTCATTCTATCGTCAGTAAACTCGTCATCATGCCAGACCCGTTCAACGGGCCTGTAATTCCCATCTTGCTGCTCTTCAATATTTCTAATTCGCCTGTTCACAACCAAAGACTGATGCTTTATGCTCCCATCGTCAAACTCCCTTTCTCGCATATTACTTCTCTCAACAAACTCCGAATCTTGATCTGGAACAAATCTGAATGGTCTAGGCCCATCATTCATATGAAACCGGAAATTGTCGCCATCATTATTATAATTCGGCCGAAACGAACGCATAGGTCCCCGTCTCTCAACAAACTTTCTTCTCTCATCAATGCTCCCGTCTCCACGAAATGGACCATTCATGTATTCTTCTCCATCACCCATCTCTCGGTTATCCACTAATCCCGGATCTGCCCTTCTACCATTTCTTGGAAAAACTCGTGCAGGTGACCCGCCCCTCCTATTGGAATTGGCAGGCCTAGGATGCACGCGTTCGCGTCCAGATTCCACATCCCTCAACTCATTAGGATGCCTTTCAACGTACGAAGGAGAACCGCGTCTTCTTTCGACCATTTCATCACGAAAACAAGAACGGTCGGGAGATCTTATTCTCCCCATCCTATACATACCCGGAGATCTATGCTGGGTTATTTCTGGAGGCCCATTGGGAGATCTCCTCCGAGGAGATGACCACATACCAGGAGACCGTATTCGAGGTCTATCAGGGGATTTCGAACGAATTCGAGGATAACCCTTTCTTTGCACGGTGGAGAAATTTCTGTTACCTCTCACCATTTGACCGTCAAGTTCATCATATGTAGGTTGTGGACGATTGTAAACAGGATCGATTACATCATCAGGTAAATGCCGCATATGCCGAATTCCCATCGCTTCAGAATTGGCATCCACATTGCAACGACTTGGGCTAGTATTTCTTGGAAATCTGCGTAGCATTGGGATACCCCTTGTCATTGGACCATCTCTATTGTCACCAGGAGAGACCCTCCTTAAGGATGGTCGGCGTAGTGAAGGAAATTCATCATTATTCAATGGCTTCCTTCTATTACTAGGACCATCTTGTGGGCTACGAAAGCCATTTAATTCGTGCTCAGTCTCAGAAGTATGTTTACGTCTTACAGCATGGTAATCAGATGGGCCATAAGAAGTTTCGGATCCAAAGTTGTGATCAGAGTTCCATTCATTGCGCACGGAGCCAAAGCGGCCAGACCTCCCCTTTCCACGCATGAAATTTGGCCTTGAATTCCTGAATGGCTGGTCATGAAACCTGTCTTTCGAGAATTTGTTTGGTCCACCATTGTAGAATTCATTTCTGTAAAACCAGACACATGGAAAGTAAAACTATGAACCCATTTTTTAAAAAAAGAAAGCAGTAGAAAAAAAGTGGGAAAAAAGCATGGGAGAATATTCACCTACTCCCCCGTGGTTGCATATCTCCTTCAGGATCAGAGCATCTTTCTTTTCCACTTCGTGATGGCAGCGACCTATTCGGAAAAGATCTTGTTTTACAAGGAGATGTCACAACCAAAGCACGAGATAAATTTATGATGCGGCTCTTGTTCGATAAGCTGTTCGAATCTTTAGCAGCATCATGGTCGTTTAAAGATGTTTCCACCTTCGGATCATTTTCTCCTGAGCAGATTTCTTTAGCGACCTTATCGGTAGTCCCCTCACCTACTTCAACACCAGTACCATGGCTTCCATTATTTGGTCTCTCAGTGGAGACTTGTTTTCCGGGAGACACTTCAACCTCTTTTCTTGCTGACGAATCAAGTAGTTTATCTGGCGTGACACTAATGGATCTCTTCTCGTCGATTCTTTCATCCAGCAGATTGTCTGATAATTTTTGCACATAGTTACATTCACTGTCAGGCTCATAATTAAAACTCGTAGACTCTCTATTTGGATTATTTTGAGTTTTATCGTGATTTTCCATTGTAGAATCTTTTCCTTTAAAATCAGATCGTTCACCTGAAAGAGGAGAAGAATTCTTCGTCTTCTTCACATCAACAGTTGAATCTTTCCCGGCTGAATAGTCTATAGGCTCTCGAACCTCTCCATCCTCATATTCTTCATCTTGTTTACCACAAATGTTTTTTCCTACATCAATAGAAGTATCAACAGCACGGTTTTTCTTTGATTTAACACCAGAATCAAAAGAATCTTCTTCAAGCATTTCAGCTGCTGATATGTTAATCTTTTCCTCGTCATTTGCAGTTACCACGCCATAATCGCATGGTTCAACAGTATCCTCATCAACCCGAGCCAATTTGCACTTCTCAGGACCTACTACACTCGAACTACCTATCTTGCATGGCTTTAATTGCTTGCTATCCTGCATGGCAAGTTTAGAAACCGCACCATCAATCCGTTCATCGGGTATATCATTGTGGTCATGCAATCCTTTACTGTGAAAGGAATGCTCAGATTGATTTAATAAATCTCTGCTCATAGTTAACTCCGTAGGACTTGAACTCTGAGGCATCAAAGACACTGATAGAGCAGAAGAAGATGCACAGCTTTCTTGATGCTGCATAACCCTTACAGATTGAGATAGTACAGTATCTTTAGGCTTGTGGGCTCCCTGATTATCCTCTTGGACTAGTTCAGATTTTATTGATCCAGAAACAACTAATTTCTTCGGAGGAACAGATAATTGCAATAAAGTTTCCTGGCCGGCGTTATTTACAGATTCTCTCTTCACAGAACTTAACTTCAATAATCCCGTATTACTGCTGTTACAACTACCTACGCTACAGTCACGTTTTGAACTCTCTTCAACGGGTTCTGATTTCACGGACCTATTCACATTCATAGTTGATGGAACCTGTTGCAAATTTAACTTCGGACCAGCACTGGTTGAGACAAAGTTAGTATGTTCACCAATTGCATCCAATTCTCTGTGCGCCATACCAAGCCCAAGACCAAGGGAATTATCAGTCTTATACTGCTTGTTAGATTGTACAAACACATTAGAAGAATTGGATGCGCGATCATCCACAGCATTTTTTCGTTTATTCAAACCGGTACCAGCTGTAGTCAGAGAAGATTTCTCGTTATGACAAGTACTGGTCTTCCCCGTAGAGCCCTCCCAAACATCCATGGTCGTGTTCAAATCCCAATTTGATCGATTACTACATACCCGAGTACCAACAACTTCTTTCTTGCTACCATTGTTGTCATTCAGAAGAAGCTTTTCTTCGTTTAAAGCCAAGCTCAATGTAGAAGGATCTGACTGGTCAGACTTTTGGCAAACACCTTCTCTGTTTTCATGTGTAAAAGCAGGAACAAGTGATTCTTTGAGTCCTAATGACAACTCAACATTCATCAAACCCGTCGAAAGATCAAGTGTACCAGTACCTACAGTTTGTCCACCGCCAGTTTCCTGCTTAACATTTATCCGAACACCCAAACTTTCTGAAACTGTAGGCTTAGTTTGACCCCCCGAATCATCTTTAGAACCTAAACTAACAATTGGCTTTGCCTCCTGAGATTTTGATGCAAAATCGTCCACATTCGATTGTCCCAGTTCTGCATCTGCACTAGTACTAACTTCTTTTTTAATGATTGAAGCAGAAGCCTTGCTCACATCAGAATTACCAGGAGAAGCTCTGTTTATTTTATCACTCAAGGATATTCCATCTGGGGTATTACATTCTTCTGGGGTAGGAGATGATGGCCGAAATATCGGAAATCTTCTCTTCTTGATAGGAATAGCATTCGAGAAATTATAAGACTGCTGCCGTTGTACCTGCTGCTGCTGCTGCCCGGAAATTGCCCCAGGCTGTAGATTACATCGCATTTAATCAACAAATTCCCAAATTCAATAATATTAAGCACTAACAATATTCAAAGTCAGATGAAAAACCTCTGCGTTTACTGGAAGTGGCATTAGTCACAAATTAATATACCCCTGCAAAGAACATCTAACCAATCAGAATACTGTTAGGCATATTAAAAGCTAATTAATTACACTTGAAATTAAAATTGTGAACATGGACTCCAACACACCTCAACACAATATCATAAATTCAGGACAACAATTGAATTAAGAAATTAATTAGGTTTATTAATTGCATACTTTTCGACCCAAAAAAAATTGAGCGGCCGACAGTGTTACTCCTATCTAGCTAGAGATATCATGACCACAAAAAATCAAAACTCTTGCCATAATCTGCATCGAACGCCTTAAATCATCAACCTTTATTTCCTACTTTTTTCCAATAAAGAACAAAATTTGATATTAAAAAAAATTCTAATTTTGTTAAAAAAATATATATATATTTAGTATTTTTAAATAAAATAAATATAAGAGAGTAGAATTTTCCGACGATTGACGAAAGACAAAAAAAAATTGCCGGTGAATTAACGAATCAGGAGTAGGGAAAAACAATTTTGCAGATCGGACCGCAGAACCAGAGGCGGTCGGCGCTTGATTCCGCATCCGAGAAACAAACAAAAAATCACACACTTCCAGATAATTAAAAAAATGAATCTCTCGATGCAAAGGCCCGCGAGAGATTTTACCTAGAGAAATCCGAAAAAACGGAAATAGAAGAGGCAGATTAACCAGATATATATATATATATAGAGAGAGAGAGAGAGAGAGAGAGAGAGGAGTTAGAGAGAGAGAGGGAGATAAGATAGGGGGAAAATTCCTCACAAGGGTTTGTGGTGTGAATGGGGGAAAAATTGGAAAATTGAAAAGGTGAGAGAATAAGAAGCAAAAGAGGAGAAGGAAGAAGACGACGACGATGACTGAACGTGGTTTCCAAGTGGTTACCATTTAAATTAAATAAATAAATAAATAGTTAGATGTGACGTTTATGAGTGGGGATTGATGGGTTAGGGTTTGTGCTTTCACTAATTATTGCCATTTTTTTAATCATTTAATTTAATTATTTATTATTTTTAATGATGGGGTCAAGCAAGACTAACTAGTAGTAATTCTTTATTTTTTCTTTTATTAAAGTTAGATATCTATCTATTTTTTTTAAATTTTTTTTAATTGACAAGGGAATTCTCAATCACTATAATTATTTTAACATTTGGCCTATTTATTTGCATTTTGATAATCCACATATAATTATTACTCTTGAAATGAGGTTTTCAATAATGTTTAAATTTTTATAGAGCTTTTAAAAATTGTATTAGAACTTGCTTTGATAATTAAGTAATTGAGGTGAACCAGAACAGAGTTTTGACCAAGAATTGTTTATTTACAACTTTTTCCTAACATTATTAATAAAATTTAATGAAATATTTAAAGTAAGTAAATTGAAAATAAATTTGGAGTAGGTGAGGTGATAAAATAAAAATTAATAGTTGAGCTAATTTTTTCTTCGCCATTTATGTAGCACTCTCTATATTTTATTGGTGTGTAGGTGGCGAGATTGACACGCCAGCTCAATACGTTCTAGAATAGCGTGCCGACACGTTCACACATTTTCATCAAATAATCAATTGACTTGCTAATAATACTTATTACATCTCCAAATTGAACAGCGAATAAAAGTTTGGGCAATACATTTTTATTTCTAAATAAATCTTACATACAATTAACTATGCATCTTGTTTTTTTTTTCTCTTTGTTCAAATTAGGCACAAAATATTGACATATTAATTAAATAAATAAAATCATGCGATTTTTCTTTAATTGAAAACAATAGAGAAAAAACACACACACACAGTCCTGAAGTAGACAAGGATACAGACTTTTCTTTAATTGCGTGTGGCCAAGTGTAAGAAATAAGAATATGGATGCATGAAAACTGCAGACCCCACTTGCATCAATAATTGAATCATTAAAGCTTTAAGTTATTGTTGTGCTTATTCTTTCCCCTACCAAAAAGAGAGAATCTCCACCCTTAGATTGAAGATAATGAATGATCTAATTAATTATTTGACCAGTCATTATTTATCCTCAATAATTATATAAGGCCATATACTTTTATAAATTCATAATATTAAAAAAAATCCTTCATATTGGAATAATTGCAACGACCCATCAACTATATATTGTCTTAAAAAAACCATTCATTCAATAGGTAAATTTGACACCGTAAAAATGAATAAGTAGAAATAATGCAATACATACGTGATGGGTGATTGTAATTACCCAAACATGAGAGATTTTTCGTAATTCGAGCTTTACTCGAGGAGTGGCCGTAGACGCGTTACGCGTATTAAAAACACACAAGGAGCTTACAATAGGGTTGCATGGTGATCGGCCCAGGACGAACTCGGGCCCACACCATCTACTCGCACGCATAAATCCAATTTGTAGCAGAGTTGTCATTAGCATCTAACACTTTTGTTATTTTGTGTGCGATGGGTCAAGGCCCAATTAAGCTCAAAATTAACAGGCCCAAACCAACAACAAATTAAAAACAAAATAATTTAGATTCTTTTAAATTCTGAAAATGGCTTATAGTCCAAAGAAATTGCACAAATTTAAAAAACAACCTATTATATAACATCCAAAATTCAGAAAAAATAATAATAATATATATATATATATAAGAAATTGGTGAGTGAGCAAATCAATCCCATTGAATATCTCTGTGAAAAGTCCATTCAGAGGGATTAATGGTGGTTTTTCCATCAGAAGCAACAAGATCATAGGGTGAATCCTCAGAGAATTCAGTAGCCATTGATTTCCAGTGAAGCTTCGGTTCCCACTCGGCTTCTTTCAACACCTTCAGTATTTCCTCCACAACCACCTTACTTCCCTCACCTGACAAGTGTACTCCATCCCTGTGATCAACATTGATTAAATATCGATATTTTTTCCTTTTTTCTTTGCAATTGAAGTTTTCACGAGAAAAAAAGGGGGTTAATTGATTGATTTGTACTCACGTAAAGCAAGCGTTCGACCAGTCTTCTCGTTTCTGGATGGCTGTCCAAAGATCAATTACCTTGATATCCATCTCTTGGCACACGTTTATACAAGCTTCTGAATATATTCGACATAGCTCGTTTGTGCGGACTAGCTCGCTGAAATACGAGCTGGTGCCGGAAAAAAGTGAAACAACAAACAAAAGAAAGCATTATGAGAACGAAATTAGGAGATAAAACTGCATCAATTCTTTTGAGTCGTACCTTGTGTTTTCGCGTAGTTTAACCTCGTTGACAGGTGGGCAGCTGAGGAATATTAAGCGTGTTTTGTCTGAAAGGTTCTGGAAGGAAATGCAGTGTTTTAGAGAGAGAATTAATCAAGGATAAATATCGATTTTGTATTACTAAATGTTTAGAGAAGTTACCTTGAGATGGGTTGCAATTTTTCGCATGTTGTCAATATACTCTGGGAGAGGTACATGAGGACCTAATCCCGATGAGTGAGCTCCCATAGAATCATTGCCACCAAAATACACGATAATTAAAGAAGGTTGAACAGCAGCATCCTGCAACAATATATAATCATCAAGCTCGTATATGGGAAGAGAAAAAAAAACAGTAAAAAAATCTGAAATTATCTCTTTAAAGAATCTCTAAGCGAATCAATCATCCACTTTGTGCAGAAAACAAGTAAACTTTAAATGCTTAGTTCTAATGGAGATCAATGTGATTTCTAACATAGACTAGAAAGAAGAAATTTATTTAATCTGATGCAAAAACATATATACATATATACTTACATACATGTAATATGTAAGACGCTTACATTTGTAGAGATACGATGAGTAGGCCGAGTGGTTACAACCATACCTTTGGAAAAACTTGATCAAGGATCTTTAGAGCTCGTCGAGAATTCCAACCGTAATAACCTCGTGTAATTATATCAGCCTACGAGAGATAAGTTTAGAAGATTATTACTCAAAAACAGAACCCATTCTTAGTAGCAATATTCCACAATCCAGAAAATATACAGTTCGATAAAGTAGAGAAACCAATCATTGTTCGACTATGTAAATCAACATTACATCAATTCTTTCAAATAATATAATTTTGAGTTGCAGATCTAGGAATTGAAGCTGCAGAGTGCACACAAAAGCAACTATACCTTTCAAAAAAAAATCGCCCGCCCCGAATAACCATATTCTCATAAGAGGAAAAGCTACATTTAATTTATTGAAGCTCCTATTATCCAATTAGCTATAATAATCTCTGAATGAAAGCTATTATGCTTTCATCACTTGTTCTAGGGTTTACTCTTGTGCTCTGGTATCAAAATGCACTTCTCACATGGCTTATATTGATTTGTCAAAAAGCCCCCTCAATTCGGAACACTGTTCTACAATTCAGTGATTTTGCCAAAGCATTCGAAAAAAAAAAATCCAGTAAATTTCTGGAAAATTGATGTCGACAAATGCGGAATGTAAAATTAACTACTCATCTTAAAACAACAAGCATACCATTCAATTTGTTTCAGTTTTGAAGATCCAAAATCGCAAAATCAATCAACAGAAAAAAGGGGGAAAAAATTAAAAATAAGGAAGGGCATACTTTGCGGGCGTAGATATCGGAGAGGATGGCACCCCAACCGCCATTGCTGAAGCTGAGCTGAACTATCGATGAACCGAACAGCACAAACAATGGCCTCCCTGGTCCCACCATCATCTCCATCGAACGATCGATCTCTTTCCCTTTTTTTTGGTGTTTGATTTTTCTGCTTCGATCTCGATTATATATATTTTCCACAATTCCTCGTCACGAAATAAGTGTAAACTTGAGGCCAATTAGTCAACAAGAATTTCATTTATTTCCTCTTTTATTGCACCAACAATCACCGAATAGGGTAGATGAAGAAGTACGGGTCATTCAATTCAATTCAATTCACAGTGTGTTTGTGTGTGTGAGAGAGAAGTGTTCTAGCACTCTATCTGGTACTGTTCGTCCGACTCATCGC